CACTGCAAAAAGCTCGCGGGTCCGTCCGTCATGACGACGACTTCTCCGAGTGGCTTGCTCCTATTTAAACCCTATGATGTCCTCGCTACGGCTAGCGGAACTTGGGAGAGTTCAGACGAACGTAAAAGAAAAGCAAGTCATGCCCCATTTTCTGTCGGCGGTCGGCTATACGCAGGCTCCAGGTTTCAACCTGAGTCCAGGTGATAATTGAATTCAACACTATCGGTTGGGTCACATACCCATGTCGCGTGGGCTGCGGTCATGACTATTTGAAGCCAAACAGGAGTGACCGATGCCAACCTGGCCTGATTGCAGGGCAGAATACGGGCGTTCCGCTTCACAGTGAACAACATTATCATGTGAATTTTCAATCGACGACTATACAGTACCGAACTGTTTAATCTATGAGAAACGGCCAGAGATCGGCTTCCTAGCCGTGGTAAATATTAGTTTGCGGTAAAATCGATTTCTACCGGCACCAATGAATCTTAAACGCTCAGTCGTCAGGAAATTTGTTATCAAACAGCATTTTCTAATTCGAGGACCAACAGCGTCAAAAAATCAAAGCTGAAAGGCAAAACCCTAAGTAGAACCGCAGAAAATGCTAGATAGTGTGTATTCCTCACGTGTAGGCGGCATTGTACTAGGAATTGGGGACTCGAAGTCGTCTATGGAAATACTGTGGTTGGGCTTGATTGTTGAGGTACTAGTGGTGATTGTGACTTGGTCGGGGCTTCTGTCAACATTGTCAGCACCGATCTCGGAAACTTGGTAGGAAGTAGCTTCACTGGCCGGCGAGATTCCAGCCATTGGGAAGCTGCTGTCTGCCGTCTGAATTTCCGTGAGGAGATCGATGGGCACAGTACGCCGAGAAGTCGACGAAGGCAGAGAGCTAAGGGTAAAAAGGGAGAAAGGTAATGAATGAATTCGTGACTGGGTAACTTACTGACAGATCGTGCAAATAGCAAACGCAGAAGAGGTCATTAAGTATTCCCGTCAACTAATCGGCTTGGACAGAAGTATGGGGCCTGGGAATGGGAATAGATAGTAAGGTCAACTATAAACAATCTGGTGCCTTAAAAGCTGTCACGGTGCGCGAAAAAACGTAGCTTGGAAGGTTGGCAACTGACGGGATAACCCGGACCGCGCAGTCAGCCCAGTGTGTGTAGTAGCCGACTGGCGAACAGAGTTAGGCTGCAATGGCTCCTTTTTCGTGTGGCCTCTATGACATTCCAAACCAGTTAGATTCAAGCCAGGATTAGTGGCACGCTTAAGGGCGGCTCTGGCCGCATCAGCCACGCGCACAATCTCCCGCTTCCGGTCTTAACATCGTCATGACGTTGGGGCCAGATAGGAGAGGTTGAGGGAGTACACTAGATGCAGCGAAAGTCATCGTTCTTCTGCCACCTGGATGTGGGGCGCACGGTGGAAATCCTTGTATAAAGCGGTCAAATTGCCATAAGCCAATAGAGTCAGTGACGAAACACGGATCCCCTGACTGCAGACTGCACGCGGCGTTGAGAAGCCTGTTGTATGGGAGCTGATACTCCCGTTTGGGTGTGGGTTCGAAGTATTTGCAGTCTGTGGTATACTTCAGAATGATTGATAACCCTTCCAGTAAAGCTTGGAAAAATATCGTAAATGTACCTTGCGTCTTCCTGTAGAAAGGATAGCACGAGTACGCGATAAGGGCATTTTAAGCAGGGTCCTGTTCGAATTTGTGCGAAAAATCTGGGAGTTTTACGAACGATGACTAATATAGAACTAGGACGTGTTGTATTCTTAACATTCAATAAAGAGGGCAGGACAAGCTTAAGAGGAACAACAAGGAGTTGACTCGTTTTATTGACTTGTCGAAATGGAAAAACGGTGACCATACCAGCAGGGAATGGCGACGTGCCGCACGTAGTGCGGCACTATAACCCTCTACACAACAAAAAGTACGTTTGCGCTGGGTTTCGGGGAAAAAAATTTCTGAATTAAAATGTAAAGTCTTTCTTTTTTTAGCAAGGAGGACGTAAGCGTCTCGCTCTTGTTTCGAAAGGACATTTGATGAGCCAGGGCGCTTTTCGTAATCTCGCGTTTTTAAGATAAAAATGGTTATTGCCAAACTCGAATTACTAAAAACTCAGAGAATATCTATATATTTTAACATAATTTCAAGCAGGAATTCAGTCAAGTTACTGTCTTCTACTGCCCACAGTCGAGTTGGCGCAGGTTCATGTATAGTTTCTACAACGGAGTGCCTCTTCCAAAAACGGGGAGGATGACGCTGACCGTCCCGGATTTCTGGAAGTAACAAGCATGACGGCTGTTGTTCGCGGGTTGTTGAAAGATGCGGCAGAGGCGTCGATTCCTAGAAATCAGTCCTTGCTCCATTCTGCAGATCTTCTCTTCCAATAACATAAGACAGTTCCTAAAAAACCTGTTTATCTCACAGCGCGCTTAGCAAAGCGTTTCCATTCGATTATGTAGATTTAATACCTTGAAAGTGGGTAACCGGCTCAGCTCCCCGAAATGTCAGCTGTTCCAATGAATCCTTCCTGCTTAAATTATTATGCCCGGTCCGCAAACTTTTTCAATCTGGGCATGCCTTTCGCTGTTAGTTCTTCATGAAAGAGATCTTACGAAATCGACACAACTCGAGATCCATTTCGCGGCCGGCGCAATCAGACCATCTGGTCGTACACAGGTGGAAACTTTCTTGCGGTAAAAGCATGGGAAATGTAAGCACACAATTCTTCAGATGGCTTTGTATCTACATAAGGCTGCGGAACTTTTGCTTCGGAACGCATATACAAAAGAAGACAGGTGCGTTTAAGGCTTAAACTGTGCTAGTCAGTACCTTGTGCTAGTCAGTGTTTGGAAGGGAATCATGCACCTGCTTTTGTACGATTTTTAGAGCAAACGGACAGAAGGCCATGCACGTGACTAAAAGTCGTATAACAAATCGAAAAATAGGAAGTAGGTTATCGGATTGCTTTAGGTAGTTATTTCTGAAAAAATAAAATAAGGTTGTCTTTGTCGGAATAGGCAAAGTCGCTCAATTGAGTAAGTATAAGCTAGATAAACGGGAGAGTCCGAATTCGTGAGTACCCTAGTATTAGGTTTTATTTATCTTACAATTGGCCGGATATAGTTATCCCCGGCTTTACCCCCGCCCCCTGTATTCGCTTCTTTCTGAGTCCCTTTAGGTACAAAACAGGCAAAAATGGGACGTACTATCTGGAACGGAAGTTGGTATTTTTTGGCTTCACCGTGACGGAGTACCGTTCGAGTGTCATGGGTGGTTCTCCCTCCATCGGCGAAAGACAGTCGTGGTTTGGCAGGCGAAACTTTTCATGTGGGCCAGGCAACTCCTGCTGTCCGATGGCCAGCTAGAAAAGCAGAAATTAAGAGGTGATGAGATTGGTTCCGGTGTAAATTCAGGCAACACCATGACTAAAATAAGCGTCATTGGTGGAAAAAAGTCCCTAGTCAACAATAACTTTCGCCACAGTAAGTAGTGCGTCATATTAATATTGCCCATGCGCGAGGGCGAAGGTAGGAGAAAGTTAGGGATAAGAGATTAAGAAAAGGGCCGGACTTGGTTATATGCTCGCCCTCCCCAATGGTACATGGGAACAGAGGCCCCCAGAGAGGCCTTGCGCGTAATTTCAGGAAGAGTAAGTAGTCTCGTGACCCAACACTAACCTAACCCAAACCACCCTAATCCTACACTTATCTCTAAGTCTAATCTCGCTGGAATTTAACGCAAAACCACCTACGGTATGGGGCGGTTTTCCGCGGTCTCCTGCTGGGGAGAGAAGGCAGGTGGAAGGTACATATATGCAATTCCCACCAATAATAATTTGATTTTCCGTGCATTCCTCTAAATCATTATGCTTATATTTAATAACGATGAAATATAGGAACGAAGGCTCTGGACCGGAAAGCAGAGACTACGAGCCTGAGCCTGAGCTATCGCAATTACCCCCAGATAGCCGAGAGGACCAAATCGTGTATTCTACGAGGAAAGCAATGACTGCCTAGTGGGGTTAGCTATCGCTTTTCGCGACACTCAAGGTGACTGACGACGGCTTCACTGGATCCGGAGGGGAATGCGCGACCACGTAGTCAGACACAGAGGCAACTGTGATATGCGAAGTGCTTCAAACAAAAACGGAGCTTCACGCACCGAAACAGCTGTTGTATACAGCCGTGCACTGAGGCGATCATAACCCCTTTTGCATTCTTGGACGCTGTTCATTCTGAACCGGCGGTCAAGCGGAGCTAAGTCGCATTAACAAATGATAATTGTGGGCTGATTTGACAAAAAAGCGTCTACATATTTACAAGATAATATTAGTCAAAGTTTAGAATGAACGCAAGGATCACAACAGCCCTGTATAAACGTCTGACATAGATAACCTTAATAATAACAAGGTTTATTGATAAAAACATCTGGGGCGCCGTCAACAAGGAACATATTGTGGTTGATAAACAAAGTACTGTTCGTGTACTTACAAAACCGAACCCCAGCTCCAAATTGAATAGACCATGCATAAAGTACAAGAATTTTTAAATGCGATACTTTCCACTTGAAAAGGCCTAAAAGATTGGACAAGTAGCTCAATAGCAAACCTGCGCCTACGCGAAAATCTCTACTTCCCAAGCAGTGACGGTCCTCATCGAGTAAGATGGTTAAACTAAGTCAGACGTTGGCTAAGGCAATTAGTTCTTTCGAGGCTGGGGCTTCTGGCTTTTAAGTATGCCATAGTATAATAAAAAATGGCCGACCACAACCAATTATTGCCCATTAGAATGCAAAACACATGACTAGATTATGCAGCGATCTGAATAATGTCGGCGTTTTGTGCAGTATAAGCAAGCAAAAAGTGCCGTGAGAGAATTACTAGTCATTTTGATCAGGCAGTCCCATTTCAAGCATAGTGCAAACAATCTAGATTGTCCTTTAAAACTGCGATGACTTAAAAGCGGAGATAAAAATGTGAAGGTCGTTGGAATTAAGTCTTGATGACTGTGGGTCCGAGGCCTACGTCCCACAAACCTGGGTTTCGCTAAGTCTAGTTGAAGACGATTAATATATTAGAAATGATCATCCCGGTCTTCGGGCATGTGCCTTTGAATGTACACGCAACACTATAAGCGATAATACCAATAAAATGCTTGCTGATTTCCGAAGCAACGACGAAATAGTCGGCACAAATAAACCCTGGCCGAGAAATAGCTAACCACCAACAACGTCTTCATTTGGGCGTATCGAAGCCATTATGGGCCAAGTCGAGCTTGCGTGAGACGATAACTTGAGCAACTGTGACCTCAGGCCGGCGCAGCATATGGTCGAACCGTCCTATTAAGCTAGCGATACCTTGCGCTTTTGACTGACGACTTGGTTACAACTTAAGTAATTAATCAGGGAGACTAATGTCGAGGCGTTTGTGCACAAAGTCTTCATCTTATGAACGCATGAGAGCGCAGCCTGGCCTTTCCACTGGCGTCATACCGATGGCTCAGCGGAATCGGCGTCCATTTTCCTGATCTGATTACCGATTTCATTTTTGTTTTGCCCTTTTGGGAGAAAGTCCGATCCAAGGCGTGGAAAGCTGCCAAATAGCCCCGTAATTTCGGTATCTATCGTGGCTGGAACAGATATCTCCGATCGTAAAATTCGAAGCAGGCATCTCCATTTTGAGTAAATGATTTTCAGGTACCCGTGTAGCGTCTGCTACCATGTCTTCTTTCTCTGGTGTCCCAATGCCCGCGGCAAGCCGGTTAACTGACAGTCCCCACCGCCAAAGCACACCGGCCCCCGCAGGCTTGAGATGGATTTAGTCAGTCGCGCGGACACCTCAGGATACTCGCGTCAGTAAGCCTATTTGGCGCACAGGTGACTTTGTCATCATACTCCCAAACCACGTCCTTTAACGTAACCAATCACGCGCCCCACAGCCAGACAGTCACGCGCACACGAACCGACCCAAGCGCGTAAACAACCCTAGTAGCACGTGCAGATCAAGTGGACAAAATCTGGTATGAATCCGGCATATGTATCCGGATTTTTGCAGTAGGGTTCCATGATGGAATCCGCTTGGATTTGGTCCTAGGCCCCTCTAGCGCAGGAGGCTGTCATTTTTCTCCGTTCTCCTTTGCTCACAAACCTAACATGACTCACCCTCTCACAAGTCAATGGTTAGTCTGTCTTGTCGCGCCAACCGGTCTAGTGTGACGATCAAAATTTCTCACTGAC